GTTAAAAGCGTTGGAAGGTCACCTTTTGATTTACAAGCTATAATTGTGTTGATGCTGTTTCCTCACAGCTGTTATTAATTGCATCACTTATTTTGGTGTAAATAATTTTAATAAGTTACTTTGTATTGATTTTGAGTACACTGGTATCTTATCGCAATAAACTATTTTAATAAAATAAGATTGTGTTGTAGTAATACTTTCCATTCATTTCTTCTTCTGTAACATTTTTGCTGGTGTTTTAGTAGAGAGCATGCTAGGTTTTATGTTTCTGATTTAATTGGTAGTATAATTACTGGTGTTCTTCTAACTTTTAATAATGAAGTGTCTTCTAAGGCCTTGCTATGCCTGGAGCTAACTGATAGGGAGTCTGAGCTAGAATTTTTTAAAACACACAAACATAGGTGCATAGGAGTGGGCATTTGATGTAGATACTAACACTGCATACCAGAGGGGAGTATCAGGGCTTAACTTCCAGCCCTACCTTCCAGTTACTCCTTCCTGCTGATAGACCTGGGAGGCATCCATGATGGTGGCCATCCACTGGGGAGGCCAGGAGACCCTCTAATTGAATCCCCGGCTCCTGCCTTCAGCCCCACTAGCATTGCAGGCATTTGGAGAGTGAAGCAGTGAGTGAGAGCTTGCTTGCTGTGCTGCCTCAATGTCTGTCTGTCTCCTCTGAAGGGAAGAGAGGGGAGGATGGGGAAAACGGACGGAGGAAAGAAGGAAGGATGCAAGAAAAATAAGTTTTTACATATATAATGCAATGAAAGACGAGTGCTAAATTTCAAAGCTTGTGCCCAATGCCATCGCCTAGCAGCTCAAATCCTCACCTTGAATGAGCTGTGATCCCATATGGGTGCCAGTTCATATCCCAGCAACCCTGCTTCCCATCCAACTCCCTGCTTCTGACCTGGGAAAGCAGTTGAGGATGGCCCAAAGCCTTGGGACCCTGCACCCATGTGGGAAACCTGGAAGAAGATCTGGGTTCCTGGATTCGGATTGGTGCAGCTCCAGCCATTGCAGTCACTTGGGCAGTGAATCATCGGACGAAAGATCTTCCTCTCTGTCTCACTACCTTTCTGTATATCTGATTTTGCAATAAAAATAAATCTTAAAAAAAATCCGAAGCTTGACAGTTTCATCATACTATCCATCCTGATCATTGAAAGGAAGCTTGCGTTTTGGAAAATTAGGGAATGTGAGTATAATAGGGCCTGCATCTCTTCCAACAGTATTAATCCAGGATTTCAACCAGAGAAAATCTGAGACTGAACAAATATGGTTTGAAGGATAGGAGTTGGAACATGCTCATCCACGATCTTCCTCTGTGGAGTTGTGGCAGTGAGACAGCAGGGTGAACGCCGATTGGAAGCTAACTGGCCTTCGGCCTTCCCTTGCTTTCTAATAGTACGGTAAAAATCCCCTCACAGACTCCTAGCAGTTGGTTTATCAAAAAGGTCATTTAATACGTACATATTCTGATGTGTCTGGTCTTTACATATATATGGAAATCTGTATGTTCTTTATCAATTTTCTGCAAGTCCCTTGCTTTCCAGCATAGGTCCTACCTGGGGCAGTGATTATACAGTGGTCAGCACAGCTTCCTTCCAACAGAGGTCTGCCAATGGGCATGCTCTTACACAAATCATATGCATTCTATTTCATAGGTCTAAGCCAGAAATGCAGATTTCCTGTGGATTTTTCAATATTTCCTCCCAGTCTCAAAACTGCTCTTTCTACACTTGACATTATAATAACTTTAGCAAGTTATTTATATCTCGTTTTGCAAAACATTCAACTGGGCTTGCACAGAAGCTGCAGCTTTTCACACTCGTGACATCGGTTCATGAAGATGAATTAGAAGCTCAACCAGTGTAACCGACTGGATGGGTAACTTTCCTAGATCATCTTCGTGGCTTAAAACTATGACACAATTGGTTTGCTCACAGTTCTGAAAGCTAGACCCAGGTGTCTTAGTGCTCTTGAAGGCTCAAGAGAAGTTTTCAGACCTCCCTGCCTTTCCCATCTTGCGGGGCCAAGCTTTCTGATTTACAGCAACGTAACTCCCATCTCTGCCTTGTCATCTCAGTGCCTCTGTGTTTCTGTGTCTTTTTGTCTTATAATACGACCTTATCTCAATATTTACCCTAATCACAACTATAAGATACTATTTCCAAGTAAGATCACACTCCGAAGTTCCAAGTGGACATAAATGTTAGGGAACGTTATTCCACCCGCCGTAGTTATAAACTCAACTGCCCCTTGCCATATGTGGATGGCAGCAGGTGAAGGTGGTCGTGTAGGGTCTGCTGACTCACAAAAAACCTACAGCTTACCTTCAGTGTCAGTCCCCAGGTTTTGCAAGGAAATAGCATCAGTTAATCTAATGAGTTCACTTAATGGAAAACTACTTATAATTGCTACTAACATTTCTTTTCCACACACTTGTGTACTTGGTTCCAAATTTGATATGAACTTGATATTCATTTGTTAGAAATTCAGAAGATTCTTACCTAACTCTGCCTTCTTACAAAAATTAAATGAGGGCCTGACACTGTAGCGTAATGGCTAAAGTCCTTGACCTTGCATGTGCCAGGATCCCATATGGGCACCAGTTCGTGTCCCAGCTGCCCCGCTTCCTATCCAGCTCCCTCCCTGTGGCCTGGGAAAGCAGTCAAGGATAGCCAAAAGCCTTGGGATCTTGCACTCATGTGGGAGACCTGGAAAAAGCTCCTAGCTCCTGGCTTCAAATGTGCTTAGCACCAGCTGTCATGGCTGCTTGGGGAGTACATCAGCAGATGCAAGATCTTCCTCTCTGTCTCTCCTCTCTGTATATCTGACTTTCTAATAAAAATAAATAAATATTTTTAAAAAACAAATAAAAATAAAATTTGTCGCATTTACTTTTGTCCTCATTCATGTTTATTTTTATAGCTTGAGGTTCTGGAGTAATATAACACTGTACATATAAGAAAATGAGATAAATTTTTTATCAGTGATTTCCGTGTTTAAAATAGTAAAAAGAAAAAAATCAATACCAATGCCTATATTATTCAGTCTAAAAATCTAACCTGATTTGCCTTCAATAGTTCTGTAGTCACTGAAATGTAAACAAGACAAATTGATCTCATAGTAACTCTAGGAAAACGACTAACTGGTTGGAGGATAAAACGATCAACTTAGGTAACAAGAAGTCTGATTTTTAATTATCCTATTATAGCTCCTGCCATCCAGACCATATAGTATAAGAATTCTGGAGTGCTTTTGAACCCTCATTAGGACACAGTTGTAGCACATTTCACCTGTTATCAAGCTGTATCATAAGCTAATTTAAATTTAAGGCTTCACTTTTCCCTTCCGTTGTGTCTGTTTATTAGCCATTTTATCAACACTGATGGGTGCTGATTTGAAGTGTGTCATATTAGCTCCCTTATAACCACTGATTAAACCGCCATGTTACTATTAGGTATTTTCATTTTATGTCTTTATTCTCAATCTTAACAGGTAAAAATGTCAGAATAGGGATTTAAATGATTATTATCATACTTTAATATCAGAAACATTTTCTTCAAACACGTGACTACATTTGTGTTAAAATTCCTGCAATTCTGGTTTCAGTTTTGCTTTATTTTTCTTGTTGTTTTTTTCTTTATTTTTTATTCTAGTGTTTCTGGTCATGTAAATCTATGCTTATTGGATTTCTGATAAAGTATTAATTGGGATTTAGGACTATTAAAGCATTTATCGAAGGACATACTTTGGCATTCTTTCAGAAATTTGTTGGCTGGAACTTCAAAGACTGGTATTTTTAAAAAAATTTTTTTAAGATTTTCAACCTAAGCATGATTTTAAGAAATAAAAAAAAACCCTGTTTTATTTCACTCTCCATTTGATCAGTGTTTTGAAATCGTGACATGTCTCCAGTTAATAAATGTTGCAAAATGGAATCTGGTAGCACTTCACATAAAAATTTGGCTCTGCTGAACTTCTTTTATAGAGGAGAGTAAGTTCTTTCAATTCTTTAAAATTGCATCAAAATAGGTAGTGTGTTTGCTTTATTATAAAGGACAATCTGAATAGACTTAATAATTTTCAACTAGATTTTCAACTTCAATTTGCTTGAGGGAAAATATAGTAATATCTGAATTTAAGGTAGACCTTGAATTCGCTCATCTACTGAAAAAAACACTCACACCTCCAGTACTGTACCACCTTTAACTCATCTCACAAGACTGGAAAAACATGTGCTACAACATTAATAGTGATAATCTGGCAGTGATTTTACATATACATTGCACGGACATGGGTTTTATAATTAAAAGGCATTTTTAGAAGACAGTTATCAATTGCATTGCAAATATAAATTAGGCCAAATTTATTTTATAGCACCTCTGTTAGTTGGCTAGGACTGCAATAACACAAAAACCACAGCCTGGGTAGATTAGATAACAGAAATTTGTTTTCTCGCAACTTGCAGAAACTGAAAGTGTAAGATGAAGGTGTTAACATCTGGTTTCTTCTGGGGTCTCTGGTTGGCATCTAAAAGGTGTGTCTTTACGTGAATTCCCTCTGTGTTCTTGTATCCCTGCCTTCTCTCTCCCTTCTTTTAAGGACCTTGTTTTACCTGATTTATGTCTTTAACGGCCCTGTTTCCCAGGCCTTCAAAGTCAGAATTTGGGGCAGACACAATCCTGTCCATAATACCATACATTCCTAGCTATTATTAAAAACAAAACAAAACAAAACAAAAAAACCTCCCCCTCTAAGTCACACATGCAAACATGTTCAGTGCGAAGAGACTTTAATGGCACAATGCACTGGAAAGTTAAATTTGTAGGAGTAATTTAGGAAAGAATTTAGTGTGACAGAAGGAAAAGGAGCTAAACTGCCAAAGTATTTGCTTGATGGTTCTTGATCAATTTTACATTTGCTTTTCCCATGTACTGATGCTATAGAAAGCTGGTATTGCCTAGCCCTGGAGGTAACAGTAGCATGGTTCCCCTGCACGTTAGCTCACATTTCTTAGTGCCAGGGTCCAGCCCCATTGACAGGGCATCTGATGAACTGTCAGCTGTGGCAATTGCACCACGATGCCCTTTTGCTCCAAAGAAATCCATTTAAGTGGTTGTCCATGTCCCAGTAGCTTTACCTGAAATAAAGAATATGGACATTCATGTCTTCATGATGCATCTCTTTAACTCACCCACAGTCTATCTGGAAGGGGTTATTGGTGATTGGTTTTTGGAAAGTGCTTCGTTTCAGGAGACTCATTTGTATCTTAGTTGAATGATTCCCCAAAGGTTTTAACTGTTGATATAATGGAGTAACTACATCTTGTGCGTTCCCATATTATTCTCAAGAAGGAAATAAACGTGTGCACGAGTTAGGGGAAAAGTTGTCATTTCAATGGACTGCAGAACAGAGAAGGTGCTGAAGACAGGATCGGGCACTAGAACCCAGGCCTGCCCAGTCCTTCACAGAAAGTTCAGAGAACACCTCTCCTCTCTTAACCGGTCGCTCCATGTTCCTCTCCAGATCTTCCAACAAACTCCACTAATCAATAAGAAATTTAATCAATCATTGATGTGATTCTATTCTTAGTCTTGATCATTCTAAGCGCATTCAAATAAGTAGTTATATGTATATTCTAATTTGAACCATGGAAGTTGGCTTATGATGTAAATTTTCAAAACTTAAAAAAATTAGAGTTCAACTGTAGATAGTGCCAAAAATGAAGATAGATAAAATAAAAATATGATCCACATCATATCCAGGCTCCTCAGGTATCATTTCACATTAGATGTGAGCTCTGCCTTCTTTCCACCTAATCAATTTAGTGTTGGAAATGAAATGTCAAAAGACGACAAAAGGACATCATGTGAGACAAACTGTGTGCATGTAAAGGAATTGTCGATTTCCTAAAGAGTACACTATAGAGGGCCAGCATTGTAATGTAACAGGTAAAGACACCACCTGAAGTGCCAGCATCCCCTATGAGTGCCAGTGTGAGTACTAGTTGCTCCACTTCCTTCCTATCCAGTGCACTGCTGATGTGCCTGTGGAGCCAGTGGAAGGTGACCCAGATCTTTGAATCCCTAAACTCATGAAAGACTCAAAGGAAGCTCCTGGCTCCTGGCTTTAATCTTGCACAGCCCCAGCCATTGCAGCCATTTGGGCAGAGAACCAACGCATAGTTCTCTATCTTCCTTTGATGCTATATAACTGCCTTTCAAATAAATAATTTTTTTTAAAAAAGAAAATGCTTTATAAAATTACTTTAATGATATTATGAGAGGAACATGTATAAAAGTTAGGGTATTTCAATCAGGATATTTTGGTCACCAATTTTTTTAAAGGTTGATTTGTTTGTTTAAGAGAGAGAGAGAATGAGAGAGACTTTCCATCCACTGGTTCATTGGCTGCAACATCCAGGACTGGGCCAGGAGCCTGAGACTCCATCCAAGTCTTCTAGCTAGGCGGCCTTCTGCTTTTCTAGGTATGTTAGCAGGGAGCTAAATCAGAAGTGGGGCAACCAGGGCTGGAACTTGTGTCCACATGGAAAGTCAGCATTCCAAGCAGAAGCCTGAACCAGTATGCCACAGCACCACCCACTTTGGCAGACAGTTGAAAGGAAAAATAGACAAAGAAACCCCTCTTACCTCTGTTGCTCTGGGAGTAGCCCTGGGTTGGCCGAGAATCAACGATCCTGAGGTAGGCCATTTAAGAAAAATGGCATAAACCAATTTTTCCTCAGGTTTAGATGTGTACCTAGTTAAGAAAAAACATAAAAGGTATGATAACAAGTTAGAGCCTGTACTTCTCACTTCAATAATATCTTCTGGGATTATTTAAAAGACGTAAATTCCATGCAGCAAATATTTACCAATATTTGGTAATAGAAGGAAGGGAAAAGTAGTCTTTGGTGGTAGCAAAATAATCTTTCCCTCATTCTCCCAATGCTAAAAGTGAGTTCTTGAAAGAAAAACATATTGGGGGGGTGGGGGGAAGGGACTACAGTTTCTTTTCATCCTCCTGTTCTCAGAGGCTGAAAAGGGAGGTGGGGTTGTTCTAGGATAATAGGATGCAAGAGCTGGAGAGCTTTCCTCGTGCGGAGCCAAGTCTTTGCAGGGCTCCAGGTTTCTTGGGCTGGCAACCACCGGCAAGACTGAAGGAGGGACAGAGAGAGGAAGATCTATTTGCTGGAGCTGAGCTAATCCAAAGGCAAGAGCTTCTTCTGGGTCTCCTACACAGGTGCAGGGTCCCAAGGCTTTGGGCCTTCCTCCACTCTTTTCCCAGGCCCCAAGCAGGGAGCTGGATGGGAAGCCACGCAGTTGGGACACGAGCCAGCACCCCTATGGAATTCTGGGTAGGCAAGGCGAAGATTTAGCCACTGAACCATCACATTGTGCCATATACATGTCTCTTAGCTACCTTTGTTTTTATTCCTGCTAATATTACTGTCTTTGTTATTTTATTATTATTATTCCTATTATCTGCCTCTATTATTTACCACTAGGGAAGCTTGTTTCATATTAATTTATTAAGTAATGTTTTAAGTTACAAATCAAGGAAGCATGACAAATTTTTATTGTTTTGATTTATCCGTAATCAAGCAGTACTAACTTAGGTGGCGATACAAAGTAAATTTTGAAAACCTCATTCATATCATCTTTTCATAATGTGAAAATCCCAGAAGACATGATTTCCAGTCTGATTCAGGTATCCATTGGAACACTGAACTTGCCCAATCTCAGCTTGAGGCAACACTCTTTCTTATGTTTTTGTTTTGTTTCTAATGTAAGGGCCCTTTTTCTTTTTAAATTTCTTCTTGTTTCCATTTTGTTTGAGAAACAGGCAGAGTGAGAGCCCTTCCACCTGCTGCTTTATTCCCCAAATGCAGTCACAGGTAGGCCAGGCGAAAGCCAGGAGACTCCCATCGAACTCTTCTACATGGATGGCTGGGATCCAAGTGCTTGAGCCGTCAGCCTCGGCCTCCCAAGGAGCACATGAGAGGAGTGTTAACGCTGGAGTCAGACGTGGAACAGGGGGTCGAATCGGACATTCCATGTGGAGTGAGGGCAAATGAAGCAGCAGTTTAACTGCTGTCCCAAACACCTGCCCCAAAGCAGGTGTTTTAAAGCAAATAGTGTTTTCAGAAAACAAGTTAAGATAATGTAATGAAATTTAAGGTTTAAATTATAACGGTGTGAAAATATATATTTTTAAGAAAATTTTTAAATGCTGTTATTTTCAGCTTTTCCTAATTATTTTATTATGACACAATATACATACCAAACAATTTACCATCTGTACTATTTTCAAATGTACAGTTTCACAGTAGTAAATTCATTTATAATGTTACATAATCATCTCTATAACCTTTACCTTGTGAAAATTAAATTCCATATCCATTCTCCATTCCCTCCTGCCCTCAGCCCCTGACAATCACCAGTCAGCAGGGAGAGAACTTCATGTACATGCTAGCATTTTGTATGTGTTCGTGTGACTGGCTTAGTATAATATCTTCAAAGTTCGTGAACGTTAAGTAGTATCTCTTTGTAGCTCTGATTTTTATTTTTCTGCTGAATGGCTTGAAGTTTTTATAAGAGCTGACTACTGTAGCTGAAATTTATCCAACGCTTAGAAATAATCAGAGATTATTTAAACTTGATTTGGTAAACAAGTCTTCCTTTCCTTTGTATTAAATAAAGTTTGGAAAATAGTATGTATAGATTGGCATCCATCCAATTTTTCTTTTTATTCTACTCCTTTCTATAGCTCTGAAAAACTTCCCTCCTTCTGTCCAACAGTCCATGGCAAGAAGAATGACTTACCATACGTCTGGGGTGATGGTGTCATTCTGGGATTGCCACGTGTGGCTTTCATAGATGGCTTCCCCATTGACTTTTAGCCAGGCCCCCATTTGCCTTAATCGCTCTTCAAAAATTGCAGAAATGGTGCCATCTAGTGTAGGCCCAATATTCATCAAAAGATTTCCACCACATGAAACTGTTTCTACAAGTTGCTAAAACACAAAGCATAAAGATCCTTAGGTGGATAAACAATGCCATCTTCAATGTGCTAATAAATTATATGAATGCATTTGTGTACAATCACCACCTGGAAGGGACAAGCACTGAGGACAGATCAGAGCCCTGTGTTTTAGTCCATTGGGCTGCACAATCACAAGAAATAATCCCAACACAATCTCACCAAGGCCATTACGATCATTGCCACTGGCTAGTTCACTGTACCTTTACCAATTCTTCAATGGTAAGATAGTCACCAATTCTAGCATTCCTCCGATAGCCCCAGGAAAACTTGTCTATTGTCATGCAGTTTTCCCATTTATGTGGTAGAAGATGTCCAGGGTTGTAACGGTCACTGCAGGTATAGTAGCCACCATGCTTACAGATGCTACCAGCTCCCCAACGGTCGTTGGTGACCACCGTGTCCCGAACTGGGCTGAAATGGAAAGGAGAGTTTAGGTTTTAAATAAGAAAAGTAGGATTTTTACACAAAAAGGAAATGTCACTGAGAAGATGTAATGCTAACTCACTCCTGAACAGGGATCACAGCACATAGTAGAAAGCCCATGGCTTTGAGGCCACCGCGATCTGAGTTCAATGGAGTTCTGGTTCTGTCATTTTCTAGCTTTCAGACCTGGAGCAAATTACCTCACTCTTCTGAAGAATGAATTTCCTGCTCTTTTATTAGAACAAAAATATTGGATATGAAATATTTAGCCCAGTACTCAGAATTCACTACATGTAGAAAAATATTACACTTTTATTTAAAGCCACCTCCCATATTCTGAATGACAGCCAAAACTGAATTTACCAACCCATTTTCCTGTCCAAAGACCGAATAATCTCATGTATATATATATTCTAACTTTCCCCTTTCTTTGCCAGTTGTGCTTACTTCTGAAAAATCTAAACAAATTTAGTGCTGATATCATAGAAAAATCTGCATTATTAGTCACAGTGAATGGTACCACACAGAGGACTCCATACCACTTAGGACTATTTTGACTCACACCTGGAAGTGGATGGCTCAGAGTCTTTCTCCTTGGAAGGAGTACATGAACACATCGCTGTTTCCAGTGTCACAACTTCTCCAGCGTATTTGTGCCTGTGTCCTTTGTGGGCCCCAGAAGCACAAGTAGGCTTCACCGCACCATGCAAAGTGCTGTCTAGTTACCCAGGTTAACATGACCCCTGCAGTTCAAGCCTAGTGGGAGAGCTCAACCGGACTCTTTGTTCTCTTGGAGCAACCTTGAGCATGTTGGGAAGCCAGAGGAAGGAACAGGAAGACAGGAGAATGCTGATGATGAAGAAAAAAAGGAGTCAAAACAGACCAATGCTAACCGGGCAACAAACATGATCAGAAGGTAAGAGCAATTAGAAGAATACAGAAGCACATCATCAGAAATAATGGCACATGAACAAGTGTCTAAGAATGAGGGCCACCAAAAAACAAAGACATGAAAAAGGAGACCTACAAAATGCATGCCTTCAAACTCCAGGACCCTATAATTTACAGTTCTTTTTGATTCCTGATGTATGTACTCTTGATTATGTTGAATGAATATTGATATATCTAACATTCCTTATTTTCAATTATCTCCTCCCTGCACACCACCAATGACCTCACAAGGAAGTAATTCAAGAAGCAAGAGAATTAGTGTTACACAGAGTCATACACGTTAGGTATATAGACACACCTGTCATTGTACAGCCAGGCTAGGAAGCCAGTGCTGTTCCAGTAAGAATCTGGTGCCCCTCCATCTCCATCTGCCCATAGGACCTCAGGCTGGTACTTGTTCACTAAGTCAAAGATCTCAGGCAACATCTTAGAAACTGGAAATTGGCGCTTATGGAAAGAACTAGATTGATCTTCTAAGAAGAGTGGATGAAACCATTCAAAAAGAGAATAGTACAATCCAAAATGCATGTCAGTTCTTTTCTTAATGGCCACTTCAAGTTCCTTGACGATGTCCCTCTTCGGCCCTTCGTCTACGGCGTTCCAGTTCCACGAATACTTTGAACCCCACAAGGTGAAGCCTAAAAAAAAAAAAAATTAACATTGCTTGTAATATCAATTGAGAAAATTTCGACTGGTAGAAACACCCACACAAATTCAGTGGTGCCTGAGATATACAAAAGTATTGCTTCTAAAACAACTATGTTACCGAAATGTTTTTCATTGTGTATATATATGTACGTTTTTTTTTTTTAAAAAAGATCTATTTGTCTATTTGAAAGGCAGAGTGACAGAGAGAAAGGAATATTCCTTCTGTAGATTCCCTCTCAACAGCTGCAACAAATGGAACTTACCAGACTGAAGTCAGGAACAAGGAACTCTACCCAGGTCTCCCACATGGGCAACAGGGGCCCTGTACTTGGGACATCTTCCACTGCCTGCACAGGCATAGCAGTAGCAGGGAGCTGGATCAGAGGTGGAGCAGCCAGGCCTTAAGTAAGCATTCCAACAAGGGATGCCAGCATCACCATAGGTAGCTTGACCCGCTGTGCCATACTGGCATCCATTGGTATAATATTTTGTATTTAATATACATATTGTTTATAAGAAACTAAATAACTTAGTATAGATTTTTCTCTTATAAGAAACAAATGAAAATTGAAATGAGATGAAACCAAAGGTTTCAAAAGCGACTTTGAGGCTACTTAGTTTGATCAACCTCCAGTTACTTCCCTACTAGACTTACAGGATCTTAAGGATCAGCAGTGTTCCCTGCTAAGCACCCAACTGCGGACTCGGGGCGTGGCGCAGGATAAATAAGAGCCAACAGTCAAAGTAGGCACAGTGAGCGTGGCAATCACTCATCCGTGGCAGAAGTCTGAAGACATCCTCCCCAAGAGTCCTATCTTTTATAGTGAAGATTAACTTGTATTCCCTGTTTTTTAGGGTTCTCTATTTTGTTAGAAGGTAAGCCTTAGAACACTGGTAACCTATGGGTAGTGAATCTCTTTTAGCCTGATTATCTATTTAACCGGGCAGGAGTGGGGGGAGGAGGCAGAAGGGAGCAGGGGAATGTTCTGCACTTTAAAATAACCACCATTTGTAATCTCATCCTACTCTAAAGTCACAAACTTGGAAGTTGTTCTTGTAATTGCCCAAAAGCACAGCGGTCATTTGGACAGTGGTTAGAAGGCAAGTTACCGGAGTATTTGGGTTTGGATCTCGCTTCTGTTTCTGGCCCTGGCCTTCCTGCTAATGGAGCAGATCAATGGCTCAGGTTGTTTGGTCCCAGCCCCTACGCGGGAGAGTTTCGGATCCGTGGCTTCAGCCTGGCCCAGTCCCCGGCTAAAGGCATTTGAGGAATGAACTAGCAGATTGAAAATCTGTTTCTCTCTCTCCATTCTCCCTCAATTAGATAAGATATAAAAAAAATTAACATTTAAAAATAAAGTACAAAATACATTGCCCAGAAGTGAATTATCTATTAACTAAATGATTCAGAAAGGTAAGGCAAACAAGTACATGAAAACTTCAAATAATCATATTTTAATAGAAATTTTCACTTAGATAACTGGCTGTCCTATAAAAATAATTGAATAGATATGCAAACTTAACTGCATAAAAATATCATAAAAGACTCAAAAATGTCAGTTACTGCCTAGTTGCATCATTACTGTTGCACCGAACTCTATATCAACAAGTGTGAGACACTTTTGGTGAAACACTTCACTGTTAAAACTAGGACAAGTATAAGATAACTCACCCTAAATTCAACAAAATTTTCTGAACTAGTTTATACTTATTCCAAGGATTGTGTGTTAAGCTTTAAAAGTAGTGTTTCTATATAAGGCCTCAACTGAAGTTCTGCAACTTGAGCAGTCCTAATGTCAGGCAATGCTAAAAAGAAAATAAGGGGGGAGGTGGTTGGTAGGCTTCCATTCAATTCCACCCCCATAGTCTCAGAGGGATCTCCTCTTAATTCAACAAGCACTTGCCCCATAAGCAATGAACACATCTGACATCATAGGGTATAGAAAATGTGTAAGTGTAGGCTACATCATCTGTCCTAACAGTTTGTTTTGTGGCTTTCTGCTGAGTTCTGTGTTTGATGAACTCATTATGCAATACATTGTGACACAGCTAGGGGAGATTCCTGGACACGAGGAAACCAACACGTTCCCAAGTAAATGCAGTTTAAAAATCCTTCTCTGCAGCAGAAGCATCTTATGAGAGAAAAATCACAAAGCTATCAGAATATGGCAACAGGGGAAAATAATCTGAGGATAATTCCAGCCTTTTGGAATTATCTAAAGATAATTCTCACCTCCTACCCACGCTCCTCCCCCATATCCCTGGAGAGAAGAATGAGGCAAAATTTCCTTTAAGAAGGTAAGAAGGTCATGCAAGGAAACTGCTGAGTTCACATGAAGTCAGAACAATAACAATTCGTTGATGCTTACTTGGGATTATGGATACTGGAGTGGTAATTGGCCAACTCCTGTTGTTATGAAACCACACAGTTTCCCTTTCCATATTCAACATCTCCCACATTTCTGGGCCCCATTACAACTCCATAATCCTTCTCCTGTTAGATGATTTGAGTTGCTTTCATTGTAAGCAGCTTCTTTTTCACTTAAGTGTAGTGTCAGCAAGGATGCAAGAGACAATCCACCGACACCTTCACAGACCGCATTGGATGGAAAGGAAAGTGTGCCATTCCAATCACAGTGTTTGATCCATGTCCCACTTCAAATGCCTTCACTTAAATTCTGCAAACATTGCTAAAAAGCATTGGATACATGGAATTTATGATCTTTCTGTTTGCCTTAAACGTGGGTGGGACATGTAGCACTTCAATTACAAGCAGATGTCAGGTCATCTGTTAGGGTTGCTCCTGAAAGAAAGCTGACCTCCTGTGAATGCTCTGGCTTTGGCTTCTTCTCTCAAAAGAACAACTTTAGGCTAGCAAACCATTTCAGGGTGTTGCACATTCTGTTACTCACCTTCATGATGTTTGGAAGTTAAGACGACGTATTTGGCACCAGATGCCTGAAGGAGATCTGCCCACTGGTTGGCATTAAAAAATTTGGCTGTGAACAGTGGCCCAAAATCTTCATATTTGAAATCAGGGGGATAATTATCTTTCATAAAGTTTACAAATAGTGGCCTCTTTTCTTTTTCCCAATACCACCTAGGGAACAAAGGAAAGCAGCACAAACGGACAAACTTGAACTCGCTGCTGCAGCTCTTGTTTCTCTTTATTCCTTCCTCAAATGCTTCCCTCCTTATCCAGATTCTTTCCCACTAATCCCTCCAGTTGAGTCGGCCTTGCAGAACACTTATGTGAACCAAACCTCCCTCCTCATTGGCCACATACCCCCTGTGGTTTGAAATCCTCCCAGCTCACCACCTAGAACATTCTGAATCCAGCCACTTGTTCTGTCTTAATTCTTCACTTTGAAATAACATGCATTATGTGTCAACCTGTTAAATCCTTTGTTACATGAATGACTTCAAAAAGGAAGATCTATGTCTAAAGCATAGCCTGCACCTGTTGTATTCACAAGCAGTGAACACAATGGGGGTGGGGTGGGAAAGAATAGGGTAGCATGGGAGGCAACTGAGAATTAATAGGATGTTACTGACTCAGCCATCAAGGATTTCCTGATACATATGTCAATTCCCACCAACAGTGTATTGAGCTGAAACTTCTTCAGGATGGCTTCCTAGACTAGCCATCAGTCACTTTCCTCACAAAACGCGTGTGAACCCCATTCCAACCCATCTTCTGCTTTACTAAAACCCCTCCTTTCATGAAGGGACCCCCACAGGATGAATAAATGCATCACCAGCACGACACCCCAATGAGGAACAGGGGGCTCCTCGGGCTAAGAAGACTTCACTGAAGGAAACAAGACATGACAGGCACCCCTGCTGGCTTGGCCAAAAGTCATATATCCCTACTTCTCCCAGCTTCCCAATCAACAGAACACAAAGGGAAGGTGATGTGGGGGATGTGAGGAATTACTTCCTTTGTAGTGCAAAGAGAAACTGATCTTCCTGCTTTTGAGCAAGGTTGTGGGAAGTGTTGGTGCCTGACAGTCAGCATGCGACAATGAAGGTCAAGGCCACAATCTGAAGATGACAGGAAGAGTCTAATCTTTGAGTTCACTAGGAGCCACCTATCTCTAAACTTCTTATGTGAGATACTAAGCCCCTATTATTAAACATTTCATTTTAATGTTTGATACTGAAAGTGAAGGAACATTGTAACTGAGCCAACATGCAAATTTAAAGCTCTACTTCTTTTTATTGGAAAGGTAGATTTCATAGACATAAGGAGAGACAAAGAAAAAGATCTTCCATCCTCTGCTTCACTCCCCTAAATAACCTCAATGGCTAGCTGAGCTGATCCAAAGCAAGGAGCCAGGAGTGTGGGAAATACTCTGTTACCTGGTGGGCATGGCCTAAGCTTACTTCCCTACAGCCTGAGGGACAACTCCCAGGCCTACACATGGAGTGTGACCTCCAATCTCCCTGGAAGGTCAAGGGGAATATACATGGAACATGACCAGAAGACCAAGAGAGACAGATGTGCCTTATAGCCAATTACAATGTCTTTGGTGGACGGGGGGGGGGGGGGGGTCTGCCCTCCTTTACCCTTTAAAACCTGTAACCTGTGCATAAGAAAGCAGACATTCCTCACCAGCTTGTCTCTGGTGGTTCTTGTGGCCGAAGGCCTCCATCTGCCTCACTCTCGATGACCTAGGGGCCTGCTGGCAGGCCTAAACCCCAAGCCAGGAGCTTCTTCTGGGTTTTCCACATGGGTACAGGGGCCAACGACTTGGACCATCCTCTGCTGCTTTTGCAGTCCATAAGCAGAGAGCTGTATCAGAAGTATGACAAAAACTGGTGCCCATTTAAAATGTTGGCAGAGGATTAGTGTGCTGTGCCACCAGGCAGGCCATGATGCATTTTTACCTTTAACTTGAACTACTAAGGAGAAATAGGACAATTAGTAAGAAGGACAAAGACAGAAACTTCCCTATCTTCTTATAGGAGGGCCTAATTTAATCTGCATTCCTTGCAATAGATGCTACTGTCATTTCTTAAATTACAAATAAAAAAGATAAGAGATACACCACAGACTCCTTGATACATACTTGGGTCTAAATAGCCTTTGAGAAGAGTCAGAAATACTCATCTATGTTCTTGACTGAGCCAAAAGTGGAATAGGGAGCAGATACCGAGAAAAGGCACCACAAGCCTGGTGCAATGACTCAGTGCCTATATCTTTGCCTTGCACGCACATGGATCCCATATAGGTGCTGGTTTGTATCCCAGCTGCTCCACTTTCCCATCCAACTCCCTGCTTGTGGCCTGGGAAAGCAGTAGAGGATGGGCCAAAGCCATGCACCCACATGGGAGACCCAGAAGAGACTCCTGGTTCTTGGCTTCAGATCATTCAGCACCAGCCACTACGGCCATTTGGGGAGTGAACCAGTGGAGGAAAGATCTTTGCTCTCCTTCTGTCTGTAAATTGGCCTTTCCAATAAAAATAAAATAGAATAAAGTAAAAGGCTTAAAAAGAATAAAAGAGGAAGGGAAGGGAAGGGAAGGGAAGGGAAGGGAAGGGAAGGGAAGGGAAGGGAAGGGAAGGGAAGGGAAGGGAAGGGAAGGGAAGGGAAGGGAAGGGAAGGGAAGGGAAGGGAAGGGAAGGGAAGGGGAAAAGAGGGGAGGGAAGGGGAAAGGAGGGGAGGGAAGGGGAAAGGAGGGGAGGGAAGGGGAGGGAAGGGGAGGGAGGAAGGAAGATAGAAATAAAGAGGAAAAAGAGAAGAAAGAGACAGAAAGAGGAGAAAGAAAGAAAGAAAGAAAGAAGGAAGGAAGGAAGAAGGAAAGAAAGAAAGAAAGAAAGAAAGAAAGAAAGAAAGAAAGAAAGAAAGAAAGAAAGAAAGAAAGAAAGAAAGAAAGAAAGAAAGAAAGAAAGAAAGAAAGAAAGAAAGAAAGAAAGAAAGAAAAGGAAGAAAGAAAGGAAGGAAAGAAAAGATAAGAAAAGAAGGGGTTCCATGAAAAACCACAAACTCTGATAGAATCTGCCACAGGGTTTATCAGACCACCCAGGGTCAGGTGGGTAGCTAGTTCACCAGTTCAGTCACCACCCGGACACCAGCATCCCAGGTTAGAATGCCTGGTGGGAATTTACTTCCCATCCAACAGCCCTGTGAATGTGCACCTTGTAAGGTGGAGGAGGATGGTTCAAGTACCTGGATCCCTGCCGCCCACATGGGAGAGTCCATTCAACTCCAGGTCCCTGTGGCCATTGAGGGGAATGAAACAGCAGGTGGAAGATATCTCTCCCTCTCTCTGAATCTGCATTTCTTTCAAGTAAAATGAGAATAGGTAAATACATAAATATGTGGAAATACACTCTGGGTTGGATTTTGGTGTGTATGAGAAGCATGTTTATTGCTCTTTGTCATAACAAACAGCCAAAGGCTTGTAGAAAATCAACATCTAATTAATAACTAAAAAAACCCTTGCTGGTTCATGGCTATTCTGACATCACAGGAGTATGTACCTAGTCTTTATGACTGAACAAAATGATAATACAAAATAAAAGAAATAGGGGGAAATTTTTCACTTATGCGCCTAAGTAATCTGAAACAAACATTTCAAAGACAAAAAAACACTGCTTAGCTATTAACAAACAACATCTTGCTGAAGTAAATATGTTTGCTAATAAAGGTACATAGAATTTCTTATTTTATAAATTTATATTGAAAGAGTATATATATTCATATAGTTAACATATTGTTCTTTCACATCAAGTGGGCTGACTTAACAGGGAGACTAGTTACAGGAAGTCTGTCTAGAAAGTTGTTCAGCGTAATTATGTAATTTTAATGCAATATATATACTTGGTTCATACCAATGCGTCTATATTATACTGAATTGGTGGTATACTATACACTGTATATTGCACATAGTGCAAAGTACATTAAACATTGGGTTTCCTTGTGTTACTTGGGAGCATATTACATTTTAAATACCTGTGAACCTGCACACACGTGGGAGTAACTCACACGCACACATATCCATGCCATGACACTTCTGTCTTCAAGAAAGTAATGCTTGAGGCATTCAACCAGAAAGACAGGTGTTCTGCTTCGCGAGATTGCTGCACATTTCTACATAGATCTCAAGATAAAATCCAAGGCGCGAGTTTTTGTGCAGCACCTTACACGCAGTAATCTAAGGATTTCAAGGCTTTAGCTATTTTTTTAGGGTGCTACGCCAGAACTTTATTAAAAGTCCTTGGAGCCACACACGCGATATTCTTAACATCAGAGACGCAAGGCGTGTCCAGGTCAGCAGACGCTGCCCAAGCCCACGACTTCCCTCTTCCGCGCCACAGTTGGGGGCGGAACCGTGGTGGGAACTGTGGAGTCTGAACCCTTACAGCCACTAACTCTTGGACGGCTGGAGTCAGCAGGCCCTAAACGCTCAGACACCTCCATCCGCACGAGCATCACAAAGCTGGGCAGCCGGATCCACGGGCGGCGAGTCCGGAAATGCTCGCCGTCACACGGAAGAGAAACCCAGCGCCTAAGCAGCGCCGGTACGAAAAGCCACATGGAGGGGAGGACACCGGGCTGTGCGTGCTCACCAGAACCATTCGCTGCCGAAGCTGGGCACCGAGAACACGCCCCAGTGGATGAAGACGCCGAACTTGGCCTGGTCGAACCACGCGGGGAGCGGGCGGGCGTCCAGGGACTCCCAGGTGGGGTCGAAGCGCGCGCCGCACGGCGGCGACAGCAGCGGCAGCAGGGCGAGCAGCAGGGCGCGCGCGGCGGGCGCCATGGCCCCGCCACCAGCCAGGCCGGGTGGCACAGCGCGCTCGCTGGGCGACGCCTGCCCGGCTGGCCCCGCCGCGGTCACCTGACCCAGCGGGCCTCCGGAGTGGGAGTGGCGGCTGCCCCGGGGCCAGCAGCCCCTAGGACTCCAGGAGCCAGGGTACCTGACTGAGAAGGCTGTGAGGAGAAATATTTGTAAAATACAGATAGAATTTCATTTATTTTAATGTTAAGGAAGAGAAAGAAGGAAGGAAGGGAGGCAGGGAAGGGAAGAGAGGAAAGAGGGAGGAAGAAAGAAAAAAAAAAAAACATTATTGTAGAAGGACATTCAGAATCTTTGTTATTGTGGGAGACAATAGTCAGATGAATTTCCTCCCGAAAGCGCCTGGAATGAGCAGGATACATCTTGATTCACAGGTTTAGATAAAGAACCTGCTAGAGGAACAAGCTGTGTTTTAGGCAACTGTACCTTGCTGTCGAGATGGAAATGGCTCAAGCCCCTCCTCCCTGAATGCCTGCATGACAACTTTGCTTAGCAAGTCTGATGCTGTTAATAAACTTTGGATTTTGACCACCAGTCAGTAGTCCACGCGTGTTATTATGGTTTCTGTGCACCAAGTTGTTCATTGCAGGACAGGGACACATTATCTATCACATTTCTTTGCACCACTATCTAGTTATTCTTGTCAACTTTACTCTTCAAATAACAGAAAAAAAAAATGCAGGGTAACTTAGGGGACAGGAACAAGATAAAACCGAACACTTCTTCCACCACATTGATTCTGCGAGTGCAGCTGTGCTCACACAGGTGGCTTCTTTTACTTTCTCACTGTGCACAGTTCAGTTGTATATAAAATAGAACCTGCTCAACAGTTGGTGAGCCTATCCAGGCCTGCTGAGGTCTCTTGGCCACACCTTCAGGTGGGCGGCACCAGCATCACCCACCCATTTCCTAACTGATTAAGAGACCACCAATGGGGAACATCTTACCTGTAGGTTCCCCGCCCAACAAGGAGGGGTCAGGAAATGCTTAAAATCCCAAGACCCTTCCTCAAACCTTGGGTGTCTCTCTCCCTCCCCTTTCCTTTGAGAGGCACCCCACCTCCTGGCTCTCTCCCCGGAGTTGCTTTTCCCTTCCCTCTCCTTTCCTTGCTCACCTGGTCCCTTCACAGATAAACTTTTCTGTCTGCAACAGATTCCCAGCTTTTTATTTCTATGCTAAGCTGAGGAAAGAACCCACCGCACATTTCTGGTAACAGTTGAGACAGACTAGAAACGATGGGACTGTATCCTGTTGCAATTCAGATCAGCCCCCACTTGGAGTCCTTGCTATCATTTGAAAAGTGAATGACCAGATGGAAGATTCTGTCTCGCTCCCTCCCTTCCTCTCTCTGTGTAACTCTTTTAAGTAAAAATAAATATTTTTGAATAAAGAAACAGAAAGAGATGAAGGCGGATAAGGGAGGAAGAAAGGAAAGAGAGAAAGAAAGAAAGTTAGTGAACACGACCTTATCAGGAAAGCATAGGTTCTGTGCACAACACCCAAAGCGTACACATAGAGATGCCAGCATGCCGAGTCAGGAACCCTTGACAATAGATTTGGAAGGAACAGCAAACGGTGTTAGGTGGAAAAGGGAGGAGAAAGAAGAAATTGCCCTGGAAGAAATGTCTTTGAAAGAACGAAATCAACACAATATGTAAGATTATCTTCATTTATGGAGAGCCTTCCCCACAGTGGCTCTCACTTCACATTTTATAATGTCAGTTTTTACAGAGCACTTTGTACTTTGCACTTACAGCCACTATTCCCGAGCAATAGGACCATATTGCACCAAGGCTTAAACTGCATGTTAAAGATTTTGATCATCTCCCCAGAACAACCAAAACATCAAAACAAACAAACCACTCAAGAAACGGGCAGGGGACATGGACAGATACTTCAATAAAGGAACAAACCCAAATGCCAAACAAACATGAAAAAATGGTCAAGCTCTCTGGCAATAAGGGAAATTCAAATTAAGACATCAATGAGGTACCACCTAACACCAGTAACAATGGCCCACATACCAAAACCACCAACAACACTTGCTGGCGAGGATGTAGGGAAAAGGGAACCCTACTCCACTGTTGGTGGGACTGCAGACTTGTACAGCCTCTATGGAAATCAGTATGGAGCACACTCAAACAACTGAAAATCCGCATACCATATGATCCAGCAATAGCACTTTTAGGAATATATCCAAAGAATCTGTTACACAAGAAACCAACATGCACACCTATGTTCATAGCAGCACAAACAATAATTGCAAAAACTTGGAAGTAACCGAAATGCCCATCAGCAGAAGACTGGATAAGAAAGCTATGGTTCATCTACTCCATGGAATACTACTCAGCTATTAAAACAAACGAATGCAGTTTTTTGTGGCCAAACAGGCCCAACTGGAAACCATTATGCTAAGGAAAATGAGCCAATCCCAAAAGGTTAGATACCACATGTTAACTCTATTTAAGATGATGGGATGTCAATTCGAAAAATAGTACCTGTAAATTATAATATTATTTCAACCTCAAACAGATATGGTAATATAACCAGTGAACCAACAATCAATGTGAGTCAGACTGCTTATGATCTACATCAAAGAACTGTAAAACCTAATATATTTTCAGTACTCTATGTTATTCCATAATGGGTCGGGAGAGCAGAGAAATCTTCCACCTTCTCAGAATGTGTGAGGAAGACGTTAAGTATAACCTATCAAGAACATAGCAGGTAATTTACAGACAACACACTCAAATCAGAATTAGACAGTAGCAAAGCTATAAAGACATACAGGGGGAATCAAGAGCCATCCTGACAACCTCTTAACAGGAGGTCATATGCACAGAGCAGAGGGGAATCTCAGAGTGGAGCAGGAGGACAGGAGGAGGTGTGTATCTCAACCCTAGAGACTCCTGGATCCTCACCTAGGACTATCCGTACGGGCACCAAGGGCTATATTCCAACTGCCTAAGAAACCACTGGGAATTGGACTGCCCTTGTAGGCCAAGAACTCTGGGGTCATCCACCTCCTTTTGGAGCTCCCACACAGGATGGAAGAAGCCCAGATCCTTCCTCACAGGATCTAATGTTGTTAGAACAATAGCTGGGAGCTCTGAGCAGTCCTCATGAACAGAACAGTAAACTTCCTTCGGGACACAGGAAGGGAGCTTTTTCTGGTCCTTACATAGTTCCAACCTTGGATCCCCACCCTCTCTTGCAATGACCAGCAGGGTCACTCAGGTTCCCCGCCCTCCAAAAAAACTAAAATTAGATTAGATAGAGACCAATATGAAAAACTTAGAACCAGACAGGAAACAACTTGGACTCACATATAACTTACTAGGTAGGACACAAAGATTAGTTACTCCTCACTAAGGTATTGAAGATTTCTCTGCACACCCCTCCTAAAACTGTTCTGCACCACAATTGTTGACATATGCCTAGTTAGAGTTGTAGGCCAGATTGGACTATCCTAAAATTCGCCAAGTTCAGCAAAATTATGCTTCAACACTATAAACTGCTAAACACTAAAATGAAAACAGACATGAGACAGTTGAATAGTACCCTACAACCATTTTAAGGCATATAGCAGCCAGTTGTGTATAAACTAAAATTGAAATGTCAATGAAGTAGTCACAGGATGTGGTTAAGAACTTGCATTTTTTAAAACATATCGGTTGCTCAAAACCATGTCAATTAGTTCCATAATGTTTTAAATTGCTGTTGGTGTTATGTTGTGGCTTTTCATTGGACAGGATGATATTCTGCCAGCTCTACTTTCAGACCAAGGATGATCTCCCAAGAAAATGTTGAATTTATTTGGACAATAAGATGTTGGACTCTATGCATGATCCATGCTTGCAATGAAGGAACCATGACTGGATTTGAACTATAGTACTGCAACAATGTGGAAGAATCCACTATCAGAGAGGGCATGAGGAGGGGATGGGGGAATCCCAGAGCCAATGAAACTATGTCACATAAAACGAAATCAAATAAATGAATAAAAAAATAAAACATTTTGATCATCTCTTTTTTAAAAAAGATTTGTTTATTGTTATTGCAAAGTTGGATATACAGAGATGAGAAGAGACAGAGGAAGATCTTCCATCTGTTGATTCACTCCCTAAGTGGCTGCAACTACTGGAACTGAGCTGATCTAAAGCCAGGAGCCAGGAGCCTCCTCCAGGTCTCTCATGTCCATTCAGGGTCCCAAGGTCTTGGGCTGTCCTCAACTGCTTTCCAGGCCACAAGCAGGGAGCTGGGTGGGAAGCAGGGCCACTGGGTTTAGAACTGGTGCCCATATGGGATCCCGGTGTGTGTAAGACAAGGACCTCAGCCGCACTGGACCCAGTTTTGATCATCTTTAACACGTTGATGCAGCTGTGTAGTCACTGCTTGAGGTGCCTATACCTGGTCCTGGCTAATCCGCTTCAGATGCAAATTCCTGCTGGTGTGCATTCCGGGCAACAACAGGTGATGATTCAAGTGCTCGCACCCTTGCTCCCTACGTGGGAGGCCAGGATAGAGTTCTAGACTCCTGGCTTCAACCTGACCCTGTTGTGCGCATTCTGGGGGAGTGAACTGGTAGATAGAAGATCACTTTCTGATTGTCTCTCTACCTTCAAAGACAAACAAAAACAAAAATAAGCAAGTTTTTGATAAAGAAACTGTCCGGGGTGCACTTGGGTGATCTATCTATAAAGCATTTGGGGTCTGCGGGTCTGAAAGCGGAACTCTGTCAGAGAACCGTGACTGCTCCTGCTCAAGCAGAGGCCTACCCCATGAGAAAGCAGGTGAAGAGGACAAAGTCTTTGCTCTGGTGTCCTCACTGTGGAGCTGCATGGCCTGCTGCCATACACCAGGCAGGCTGCCAAAACTCAGGGCACCCAGGCAGGAGAAGAGATGGGGGCTAACTCTTGCTGAATTCCGGGTTGCTGCCAGGGAAGCAGCCCTGCCACTGGACC